AGTTTTTCCAAGATTTTTGAAAACTGTGACAACAGAGAAACCGGTCTATAATTTGTGAAGTTGTGCTTATCACCAGATTTATACAGTGGAATAACCTTTGCTATTTTCATATTATTGGGGAACTGACCAAGTCGAAACGACATGTTAAAAATATGGGTTAATGGTTTGCATATCCCCTCAATTACCCATTTAACAGTTGTCATAGTGATGCCATCACTATCACTAGATGTTTTGTTATCACATTTATTCACTATCTCTATAATTTCCTTTTCAACTATGGGCTTCAAAAACATAGAACTCATGTTCCTTTCGATTGTATTATTATTTATAGTGACGGATGTATCATCTGTACAAATGCTTCTTGCTAAACCAGGACCAACATTCACAAAGAACCTATTAAACTTATCTACTACATCCTCCAATCTATTAACCGGTGTATCATTATCCATAAAATATTGAGGGTAGTTACTCTTGCTGGAACTGTTTCTAATCAGTTTATTTAATATATTCCAAGTACCTCTGATGTTATTTTTATTATCCTCTAATACTTTAGAGTAATATAGTTTCTTACATCTCCTCAAAATCTCAATTAATTTGTTCTTATATGACTTATATTTTTCTTCCGCCTTCTTTGATCTGTCCTTTATGTTAATTAGTTAATGAATTAATGATGGAATGTTGTCACCATGCTCAGTTGAGACCTGACTGACTTTGCAAAAATTCAAAAAAGTAAGAATGGAAAGAGGAAAACAGTGATCCGCACTTTGAGGAATAACCACCAATGCAGAGATGATGGTGGTTAATGACAGAACTGAATATGTCCCTGTCTTTTGTTTAAAGGCTCTGGACTACTGTCACAGTATGGGCATAATGCACAGAGATGTGAAGCCTCACAATGTAATGATCGACCACCAGCTGAGAAAGGTACTGCTCACTCTTACTTTTAATTTTTATTCGTTTTTTTTTTCTTTTCCATGAGTGGTTCAGTCAGTGAAATCGGTACCCTGGGGGTCGGGTGGGGGGGGCTGGAGCCAATCTCAGCTGACATTGGGTGAGAGGCAGGGTACACCTTGGACAGGTTGCCAGTCTATAACAGTGCCCAATAACCCTAAAATCAAATACATGTAAAAGTGTATAAATGCCACGCTGTGCCACAGCAAAGCAATGAAATGCTATAAGAGTGTCTTTTATGTTCTGTAGTATTTCAGCATTTATTTTTTCATAATGTACATCTTCTTTTTGTGTCACAGCTGCGTCTCATAGATTGGGGGTTGGCAGAATTTTACCATCCCGCTCAGGAATACAACGTCAGGGTAGCTTCCCGCTATTTTAAAGGCCCTGAGCTGCTAGTGGACTATCAGGTACCTGCTGTTACTGACTTTGCTCTAGACTGGAATTTAAGGAAAAACCCAAACACCTTCCGGATAATTTCTTACTGTACAGCGTCTGTCTTTTTTTTTTTAAGTCATTCTAAGTGTTTGAGTTGTATTTTTTCCAGATGTATGACTATAGTTTGGACATGTGGAGTCTAGGCTGCATGTTGGCCAGCATGATCTTTCTGAAGGAACCATTTTTTCATGGCCAGGACAACTACGATCAGGTAATGGACCATCAAGCTTCTTCAAGAACTTAAAAATGTCACTCAATTAAGAACAGACCAGGGGCAGAAATGACCTATTCTGCATCATATTTTGTAAGTGTAATAAAATGCATCTTGTTTTTCAGCTGGTTCGCATTGCCAAAGTTCTTGGCACCGATGAGCTCTTCGGCTACCTGCACAAATACCACATAGAACTGGACACTCGCTTCAAAGACCTGCTGGGACAGTGAGTATCTGCAGAGGAAGGAAAAGCAATGAGTGCTTTTAAACCAAATTGTTAATCAGAAGAAACCAGTTTATTGAAAACAGTGAAAATGTGAGTGCTGCTGCTTGGTGTCTGACTGTGGAGAGGTCGCTGAGTCAGATTTAACTGAGTGATTTGGCTGTTTTGGGTTTAGGGTGCTGGTTATTGCGCATGTTGGCTCACCGTCATCGCTTACTCCTAACAGAATGGAGTTATTGTTAATGTTAGTTGTGATGAGCAGATCAAGCATGATAAAGCAGGGTGGGCTTCTGCAACATCTGATGGCTTTTAAAACATATTGCAACCCTTAAAGAAAGCAGTAGGCTACAACACCATGATGGTTTGTCTCTTATATGCATAATAAAAGTCCAAGAGGCCTGCATGTTCATAAGTGCTTCATTTAACATAGATGTTACTGTGCAACAGTAAAATAATAAACTGAGATGCCTCTGCAGCATTGCGTGGAGTTCGGGAACGGTGCCTCTGGACTGGCAGACCAAGGTGGTGGTCTCCCTTTTTAAGAAGGAGAACCGGGAAGTGTGTTCCAACTATAGGGGGATAACACTTCTTAGCCTCCTGGGAAAGTCTATGCCAAGGTACTGGAGAGAAGAATCCGGCCGATAGTCAAACCTCAGATTGAGGAGGAACAATGCGGTTTTCACCCCGGCTGTGGAACACTGGACCAGCTCTATACCCTCACTGGGGTGTTGGGGGGTTAATGGGAGTTTGCCCAACCAGTCCCAGTCTACATTTGTTTTGTGGATCTGGAGAAGGCATACGACCGTGTCCCTCGTGGCATCCTGTGGGAGGTACGGCAGGATTATGGGGTGCGGGGCTCGTTGTTACAGGCTGTCCGTTCCCTGTACGACCGGAGTAGGAGCTTGGTTGGCATTGCCAGCAATAAGTCAGACCGGTTTCCAGTGCATGTTGGACTCCGCCAAGCCTGCCCTTTGTCACCGATTCTGTTCATTACTTTTATGGACAGAATTTCTAGGCGCAGCCAGGGTTCGTTCCCTGGGTGTTTTGGTGGCCGCAGAATCTCATCTCTGCTTTTTGCGAATGATGTGGTTCTGTTGGCTTCATCAGTTAAAGACCTACAGCGTGCACTGGAGGGGTTTGCAGCTGAGTGTGAAGCGGTGGGGATGAGAATTAGCACCTCCAAATCTGAGGCAATGGTTCTCAACCAGAAAAAGGTGGATTGTCCTCTCCAGGTTGGGGGTGAGTTGCTCCCTCAAGTGGAGGAGTTTAAGTATCTCGGGGTCTTGTTCATGAGTGAGGGAAAAATGGAGTGGCAAGTTGACAGACGGATCAGTGCGGCGTCCACAGTAATTCGGTCTCTGTGCCGGTCCGTTGTGGTGAAGAAGGAGCTGAGTCGTAAGGCGAAGCTCTCAATTTACCGGTCAATCTACGCTCCTACCCTCACCTATGGCCATGAACTTTGGATCATGATTGAAACAATGAGATCGCTGATACAAGCAGCAGAAATGAGTTTCCTCCGGAGAGTGGCTTGGCAGACACTTAGGGATAGGGTGTGGAGCTCAGTCACCAATGAGGAGCTCGGAGTAGAGCTGCTGCTTCTCCACGTTGAGCAGAACCAGTTGAGGTGGCTCGGGCACCTGTTTAGGATGCCCCCTGGACGCCTCCCTGGGGAGGTATTCCAGGCATGTCCCACTGGGAGAAGGCCTCGGGGCAGACACAGGACACGTTGGAGAGACTGTCTCCCGGCTGGCCTGGGAACGCCTTGGGGTTCCTCCTGAGGAGCTAGAGGAGGTGTGTGGGGAGAGGGAAGTCTGGGAGACTCTGCTCGGACTACTGCACCTGTGGCCCAGTTTCGGATAAAGTAGATGAAGATGGATGGATGGATGGATGGGCAGTACTGTCGCCATGCTCTTGTCTTGTACTGTAAATTAAATAAGAACAAATGCTTCAATTCGGTCATATTAAACATTGGTCTTATGTTTGCAGGCAAACAAGGAAGCGTTGGGAGCAGTTCATTCAGTCAGAGAACCAGCACCTGGTGAGTCCCCAGGCTCTGGACCTGCTGGACAAGCTGCTGCGCTACGACCACCAGCAGAGGCTGACGGCAGCCGAGGCCATGCAGCACCCATACTTCTGTAAGTACCACCTGGATTTTGTCTCGAGTGTCTGGTGATCAAAATCACTGGTAACATGTCTGCAGGTTAACACACTAACAGCAAGGTTAAGGTAACGTAAAAGCTATTGGGCAAATACAGAAGTAGGGTCCAATCGTGTAATAGTACAGCAAAAAAAAAAAAAAAGCTTTGAGAAAAATAAATCTCATGGTTTTCTAATCCAGATTTAAGAATGCTGCAGCCCAGTTTAAAATCTGAAAATTTTCTGTGGCCCACCCAAACCTTTAAACACAACTTTGATCATCCCATGAGACTACAATTAAGTATTTCCCTCTATATTTTTATTTCATAAATGGCCCAGTTCCATGTGTGCCTATATGGCAATGCAGTGCAAAATTAAATCCGTTCACATCAGCTACGCGTAACAATGTTAGAAATTAAGTGCAAATGTTGGATTGCGAAGACTGTATCCTGGCTGTTTCACAGTAGATAATTAAACACTTCTTAAAAAAAATTTCACAACATCAAACCCAATATCAGCATGAAGAAATAAGACAATAATTTTAATGCTGAATCAGGCCAACACTTTATCTTTCAACACATGCATTCTGTCACAGTCGTTACAAGCACGAAACAAAGCGCTCACTCTGTGAAGTCCATAAATTGACATTAGTTATTTCAGTCTCAACTTGCAAACAGCTTCTCTCACTGCACTGGATATGAATCATGGGGCAACATGACATCGCATCACCTGAAACTCACCTGATGAGAAGGGTGATGTTGCTGCATAGCAGCTGTCAACGTCTTGATGTCAGGCTGAATGGATGTCAGCTTTAAGCAGAGATCAGGTCCAGTGTCCAGTTGATTCCTGTTCTTTGTCTTTAAAGCCACAAGTGCTACTCGGTAGGACGTCTCCACTGCCTTGGTGTTTTCACTCCCAGTGACACATGTGGATTCAGTCATTTTTTTACAGCTCAAATACTCTGAGCTCGGATGAAAATTGTCAGTGTTTAGTTTCTAGATGATAGTGCAGCTCGCCTGGCTTTGGGGCCTTGTTTGCTAACATTAGTACTTCTGAGCCCAGCACAGATGGGCATCATCTTCTGGTCTCACACTTGTAAATCCCAGTGATGGGTGCTCACTTGAGTACTTCCTATATAGAGTCAGTCTCTTTGTTGTCACTGGTTCATTTGAGGTTGATTCTGCAGTAACAGCTTTAGGGGGCTCCTGGACCAAAGCTTGAAGGGAAAAAAAAAAACCAAAGATTTGCAAAACGGGTAAAACCAAATGCAAAATGAACACGAAAAGATGAGTTTGATTAGACACTAAATGGCTACAAAGAAATATAAAATGACCATATGTGTCTGTATCCTGACTTACATAAGACCTGGTTTTCTCGTCAACTTTGTGTGTATTTATGCAGATAAATTAACAGTGCCTGTGTCTTTGTCCCACAGATCCTGTATTAAAGGAACAGGCAAACACCAATACAGACGGCACAAAGGCAATAAGCAGCTCCAATGCAACATGATAACCAGTGGGAGGTAACACACCAGCAAAGAGTACGCAGTATAAAGTGTGCAGAGAATGCTTAAAAATGCCACGAATGGTTATATATCAGGTGACTTCATACAAAGTGCAGTAAACAGAAAAATTCGAAATCATTATTTGGTGTCATGCTACCAGTTCTGCTTGGTGCACTTGCAGTTTTTCATGGTACAGGATGGGCCGGTTGTTCCATCATCTTGGAGAAGTTACCGCAGTTCTTCAGTGGATTTAGTCTCAGTCCCAGTGCCTGTTCATGTAGTCCCAGACTGACTCCATGGTGGTGAGCTCAGGGCTCTGTGGGGGTCACACACCATCTGTAGTACGACTCCTTGTTCTTCTTGGGACTCACTCACTAATATGTGCATAGAAATGTTCTTATCCTGCGCACAAAATAAGTGGCCATGCATAATTACTGTCGGTGCACACCAGCTAATTTTGTTACCACCTTGCATGTTAGTGAATCAGAATTATTCTAAAATGACAGGTGTGTGGTTGCAGGTCAGAGTTAGCATATTGCCACACCCACGTTTCTCTATATAAGAAAAAAAGTTTGCCTTGAGGCGTCTCATGGAGAAGGCGGTGAAGTGGCAAGAGAGATAAAGGTATGGCTAATCTGTTATTTACGGGAATTGCAGGCAAACTGGTCTTGGCAGTCGGGAACAGTGGAAAGCCATTTGTCACTCTCAAATACATTATATCAGTCTCTGAAGATGCGCTCTCTCTTGCAGGCACAGGCTGCAGTATCTTCCAACAAGGCTTGATATGCCATCTTAACACTTGCTTGGAAGTGAATTGGAATCAGATTAGATGTCATGGCTTTTAATAAACAGATTAACCAGGTGGCAATTTCATGCAACTAGAAATCGGTGGGCCAAGTCAATAAAAACAAGGAAAACCAGCACTGTTGCGTTTCAATATGGACATGTTCATGTACTTGTAAGATTAAACTGGGATAGCTGAATATCTTTAATTATGACAGTAACTGAGATGGGGATGAAAGGACATCAGTTTCATGGTTATTTAATAGGCTACATCTGGCCAGTGGATTAGCAAATACACAGCTAAAGCCTTAAATATTATTTAATATAGTTAACTATATCAACTAGTAGCTGCGGCCCAGTTTCGATTCCCGGTCGGTGCACCTCTAGCCACAGGGGTTGCAAGCCAGTGACTTCTGCGTCGGTCACAAGCCCAGAAATAGAGAGGGTTGCGTCAGGAAGGGCATCTGGTCTTAAAAACTTGCTAAATCCACCATGCAAATCGTCACTGTGGAAACTGATGATTCGCTGTGGTGACCCCTAATGGGAACAGCTGAACGGGGAACGGCTATATTAACTAGTAAACCTTTAGTGGATGCTATACTAATATGCCATGCATTGTTAAAAGGTGTGTTTACATTTTCTAAGGCAGTCAAGCCTTCATAATTTGTGCATACGCACAGTCTGAGGTAGGTCTAAATTTGTTCATACCCTGTGAACAAATTTAGTTATGAAAATATTGGCAAATCCCAGATTTGTGCATAAATTGTTTGTACACACAATTTAAGTACAGATTTGTGTGTATGCACCGTTTGTAAATGAGGCCCCTTGTCTCTTGAGATAGTTCTTTGGCTGGATGGTTGGGCTGTTATCATGCTGAAGGAACGTTGGATAGATCAAACACTGCACTGATGGGACTGCACAATGGTTAAGAATCTAAGCATCTTAAGTTTGTGATGGTGTTAAAGTACTGCGTTATATTGAGAGGCGTTTTTAATTTTGTCCATCCCATTTACATCAATGAGGCCACCTCTGTATAATGCAGTACAGTTCAGCAGCAGCACTCCTCACATTTCTGTAATCAGAAAAATCTAGCAGATGTATTTGACCTGTTATTGTTTCAGTACCCATTTGATTATTCTTTTCTTTCCTTTGTCCATTCAGGAAGATTCACTGTTACCTCAACTTGACTTATTTATGGCAGAAACCTCTGCCTCCACATCAACAGCCATACTGGAGCAAGATGTCAATTTTACAGCATACACAAACACACATGGATTAAACTCCCAACAAAGCCCAGGAATCAGCGCTGCTTGGCCCAAGTCACAAACAAATCAGATCTGAAGTAAGATCTTTCTTCTCCTTCCTCCTCCTGTCTCTCAATATCACCCTCAACCTGTTTTCAAAATGAGCAAACTGACTGTTGTTGGATCAGTGTCGAGCTGGTTTTGTTGCTGTAAAGACATTTGTCCGTCATCACGATGCTGTGGTGACCTGAAATTTGGTTCTGGGTTTTAACACTGAGTGGCATGGAGGCTCTTTTCTGCTATGGATAGAACAAAAGCTATATTGAAAGAGAAATAAACCATTTTATTTAAACGTGTTGGACCTTTATTTCCTCAGGTGGAATCCTACCATTTGTTATCAAATGTCCAAATAGACCCAAGTCCAGATAGTGAGAGGCTAATGGTTGCTATGATGACTGTGGGTCAGGACAGTGTAGTACTGTAGGTTTGTATTTCTTTCTGGTTGTTTTGCATCTGTATTTATTTTAAGCCTTTTGTCTATTTGTAGTCATTTGATATTCCAACAGAAAATATTGTCACTTTACACAGAGGCTCTGGTGCAGGGGCCCCTTGGGCCAATGGGTGTATGTACAGTAATTAGTAATTCAGTGATTAGTCGTGCAGCTACTACAACTGGGGCCTATTTCAAGAAGGCGGTTTAACAAACTCAGAGTTCAAACCTGAACTCTGAGTTGACTTACTCAGAGTTGGAAAACTCGGAGTTTTCGGTTTCAGAACAGCTGAAAAGAGTTGGTTTAATCAACTCTGAGTTGTCTGACTCAGAGTTAAGCGCGTGCCACGCGACTATAAAAAGCCCTGAACAATGGAGTGAAGAAATTACGAGTCACCATGGCAACAGGACCAAGCCAAAATAGGTCTGCGTTTTTCCCCGACAGAAATGGATGTGCTACTAGAAGCATATAGTGACTACGAGCCCATATTTCGTAAAAAAAAAAAAACAGCACGGCTGCAGCGGCGAAAGAGAAAGAGTTAGCTTGGGGGAAAATAGCTGCCCGAGTCAATGCGTACGTTTACATTTTAATCATACAGTGTTCGGTGTAAGTAATTACTAAATAATGTTAGTAATGTTATTATTTGTCACTTGTAAAGTAAGGAATGGTTCTTAATTCTTCAATAATTGAATGAGTAACTTCAGTAATTGCATAAAATACCGATTTTTGTACGAATTAAAAGTGCAGTTTTATGTCTACCCTTTCTTAAAATTCCTATTGTGGTTGATATGGGATTTGTAAAGTAATGATTAATAAATAATCCAGTACGTTTTATGGAGAGTAAGTATTACATTAATCAAAATACTTTTTTAAAAATTGACCCAACACTGATGTAATAATATAAGAATTGAATTTTAATTTTCATGTAGGTGCATTGATGGGAATATGTGCGCCATCAATGCATCCAACCGCATTAGGAAATCCTGAAGGGGATTCTAATTATTAGTTTATTTCCAGAGGTCACAGCAAGATGTTATTAACTGATCATCATTTGTCAGATTAGCCTTACTGAAACGAATTCAATACCACTAACCTGCAATCCTGTGAAACTCCTCTTTAATGGCTCTGAGGGGTTTGTGCCCAGGAAACACAACAAAAATTCACAGAAAGCGCTTGAGGGCGAGGC